ATTTTCAATAAGCAATCCTGAAAAATATTTGGGGGTGTTTAACTTTTTTCCAGGTGTATACTAATGGATGAGAGTGAAAAAGCTTGTAAATACTCGACGATCCCTGTTTAATGTGGAGCAGAATAAGGCCGTTTCAGGCCTAACTTTAACAAATGAAAAATAGTTTTTGAGTGCTTGCCTTGGATTCAAATGAACTCTTGTGTTCAGAACAATATATACTAATTTTTAAAAGTATGAAATTGAATTTTTGTTCAATAAAAATCTTTCAAATGCGACTGTAGCTTTTCATCCTAAAAACTTTGTCTTCAAAATAAGAGTGCGTCTTATAGTCCGAAAAATACGGTACCTGTACTTGTGTTGTGCTTGAAACTACTTCTCGTGCAAAATGTCTGAAGCGCAATAAATTCAATCCCTCAATTGGAACTCCGTCATACAGACATAAGAACTTGTTCTCCGGCTTTTAGTATTTCATCTCTTGTTTTACCCTGATTGCAGAACACTTCTGCACTCTCCCTTAAATGTTGGTCATATCCTAGTTTAAGTGCTGCCCCTTTTCCAATCCCATAAATGCGAGGTGTTGTGTCGCAACCCGTCAAAGCATGAGTGAACAGAAAATAGTGACAGATGTTTGCTCCAAGTATCATCTTCGTTTTCGAATGTCCCAAATTCTCACCGCTTTGTATGTAGTCTGTTTCCCTTGTGACTTGAAAATATTACTCTGAGTATAAGCATGATAGCATAGCAATATGAGAAGATCCGTGTCTTTACCGATCATCATTGTTTCACGAGTTTCTACAAAAGCAACTGCAGTCTTGACTATTAAAATATCCGCATCATCTTCAGCATATACAACTTTACATCCCCTATTTTCAAGTCGACGCCCGAGCATGTAAATAAAACGTTGTTTTCAGAGTTTAAGAAGTGTTCTTTTTTTCCTCTGAATGGTGTATTGTCCTTGAAGTTAACATTCTAACCGAAAACTCCATGCATTCGCCGCATATGGGCTACATCCTTTGTTGATGGTCCTGACTGGTAGCCATCAAAC